GAAGAGACCACCAAGATCCGCGGGCTCTCTTCAGGCTAGCCCGGACTCTTGCCCGGAGCGCTTTGCGAGTTTCATTGTGTTCGCTTCCAGTCGGAATATGCCGGTGAGCGTCGATAAGTTCCAGAGACCGCGAAGAGACCCAATGCTCATGTTAGCTATAAGACTTACCACATGAGGAGGAGTTGCCTGCTGCTAGTAAGGTCTGGTGAACATGCGACCAGTGACCTACAATTTTCTCCAGCGTGCGCTTACTCAAGTCGCATATCAGCGTACTTCGATAGGCATTCAGAACAGATGGTTTCGCCAGTTAGCTGGTATCAATACGCTCACAACGTCGTCGTGGGCGTCCGCCAACGCGCATCCGCATGTCCGCACATACAAGTGCATGGTCGGTGTCCACATATGTGCGTCAAATCGAGCGCAGTTCTGAATGCAGCCTCTCCAGCGGTAACTGATTGCAATGTGATCGATTTGCGTCAAAGGCTGATTCGAGGCTGGTGGGCGCCAAGTCACCCTCCGGCGGTGCTGTGTCGGAACTTAGTGCTCGCAAGAAATAAGCGAGCATCTTCACACAAATGAAGTAACCGCTCGTCGTTATCATTACGGGAGCCTACACTATGCTGACCGCCCAGATGCATTTCATCAGTGGACAACTTTCCAACTTGTGCGTTCAGATCCCCCGCCAGCACAACACTATCCGTGTTTCTTCTGTGGCGAAGGAGGTCGGTAAGTTGGTGGTAGAAGTCGTCTTTTACCGAATCATCGCTACAGTTTGTGGGCGAGTAGGCAGCAATGGTGAATAGACACCTATAAGTCCAGCGCAACTTCGAAGCTTTGAACGAGCCAGCCAATCGGACCGTACACATCCGGCTACTGATTGGAATCCAATCAACCAGAACAGCTTCCTCTCGGGGACTCAGGGCAATACCAACACCGGCTTGGTCGATGCTCGAAGCTACATCGTCACCGGATAGGCGCAATGAGAAAGTGCTGCTAGTGTCACCTGAAGGAGATCGCAGAGTGAGCACAGAGCTCGAGTCTTGCAGGCCGGCAGATATCGATCGAGAGGGTCTCCAATGTTCGGGCAAGTGCTGCCTGTTGACCGATCTGAAGCAATGTGCGAACATTGAGGCATGCCAATCTGAAGGAGGATCGAGGACTCCAAATGGAAGCCGATGAACTGGAGTGGATCGCTTGGTTAGACATGGGCTTGTCAAAGGAAACAGGAGTTGCGCTCCGCATTAGCATGTGAGTTGAAACTAGAAGATAAACGCTAAGCAAAGCATGTTGGAGGAGGGCCAAGAATCGAGGGTTTTAAAACTGGGGAGATAAAAGTGAAGTTGGAACGGGTCGGTAAGAGTGAAAAAGCGTAAGAGGAGAATAAGACAGGAAAGCTTGAGCAGTAGCATCCAAACCCCTATCCACACTGCTCGATGCAGCAGATAAGGCACCGTTGATTATCCTCTGTGGTGGCCAAAGCATCAGGAACTTGTTTGAAGAGCGATTCATGATATTGCGTGGGCAGGATATTGTCAGGTTGCCCAGGCCTAGACAGGAGAACAATTAGGGTTCTCAACTAAAGCTTTGGTTCGAAAAACCTGAGCGCAAGGCAGCGGGTTAGAAGTTGGGCTACAAGGAGTCCGTTTTAAGGAATAAGGAACCATCATCGTTCCAAACCGCAACCTGGATGACCAAAAGGTTGAGTTTATCTGGCCTCTAACCACTGACCAATGTGGTATGAGTGGCTCTGAAGGTGCAAAAATAGCACCACCCAGCATATCTCAATGGATCGCTGAGGCACACAAACCATCGCACCACGGTAAAGTCCAGCCTCATTGCGATGGCGGCTTTCAGTCACCAAAACAATAGCTGGTCAAAAACCAGTATAGACACGGCGAGAAAGAAGAGAGCGGAGAAAAGGAATTCGTCTCCACGAAAAAGCAAAAGTGTAGGGAGAGAGATGACAGACCCCGGTTCACCCTTCACTTGTCATGGCGCACTTAGCGAACAACCAGTCTGGGATTTAAAGTAAGTGGATCCTATGATGAGAGACTTCGCCGACAAATTCTACGAGGAGATCCGTAGCTACAGGGCAATGTCATCAACTAGAACAGTGACACAGCACATGATCCGTAAAAATCGACCGATCGGTGGCACAACCCGAGTGTGGCATTCAACACAGAGGCAAAGCAGTATTGGTGTAGACGTAGCCACAAGTAGTCCAATGTGCCAAAAACATGTGGGGGTAGTGGTCAGAAAGCGGCCACGCTAAAACATAACGATCGATACACGTTGGAGAGACTGGAAATCGAACTGTTAGTACTGGCAATCTATCCGAAAGTGACACTGACACTGGCACGCCGGTTCAACAGCGGGTGAACTCACGCTGTAAAGTGTGTATAGAAAAAGGATAAAATTTCGACAAAATCATAACAAGGGAGCTGCTCCTAAACAATATTTTTTGGACGAAAGCCGAATGCAGGTAAATTCACGGTTGCCATTGCCCGTGCTTCACAACAATGGGGTGTGGACACCAAGTTTACCGAGAAAATTTGGGTGGGGAAGTTCGGATACTCGATTATTGTGACAAGCAGCTAGAGAATGTCATCGGCAGTAAAGATGAGAAACATCTTAGTTATTGCACTGCAACATAAAAGCAAAGATACATGAAAATGTGAGATTATAAACATCACAGAATACAGAACAAAAACAAAAAACAAGTAATATAACGCAAAGTATCATATTATGCATTAGATGTGAGATTGTAGTTGGAGGAGGAATCTGAAGCGGAGGGGGAGGGACAAGGAAACTCACAACACAAACGTGACTGAGGTCGACTACTAGTCGTGTCAACAAGTGTACCCAGCCAAACGTGTTCATCATCTTTCGGACCAGAACCAGGGAGCCGAGAGGTTACAAACGAGGCCAACTTCGAACTAAGGTCCTTCATTCCTCATGATCACGTCGTCGATTGGTAACTCATCCTTCTCTTACATCCGCACCCAGGTCGCACAAACAACGCACGGCGCGGGAGTCGACGTGATAGCATGCGCAACACGTGGCCCAGCTATCGGAGCCTAGTGTTTCATTTAATGGTACTGAGCGGTTCACCGTCTTTTCTTGTGGCAAGTACGGGATGCCGAAAATGCTCATTGCTCACGCAGGGTGTTCCCATCAAACATGAGTTAAGCTGCGAGAGCAGCAGATGGTCGAACGTAACAAGCCTCTTTATGTCTGTCAGCTTGAAGTGTCAGGTTTCACAACAGTACGGCTGCATTGTAAACTCTGCTCTTCAGGGTGAGAGCAATGTCGCGAAGGCACCACAGGCGGATGAGATTGGCAAGCGCGCCTAGAGCTTTGCTATATGACTCGTGGTCACATTTTCTATTCTATGGACGCATTCGGTTTCTTTCATCTGGTTGTTAGTTTTCGTTCCATTCTGATTAGTCTAACATACCTTCTTCTTGCTCCAGTTTTCTTGACATTCTATTTGCGCTCAACCCGACTATCTTGTCGTTTTTGGTTATTGTTATTCTTGCAATGTAGATCCACCGCAGTTTGTTGCTCAGAGCATGATGGTACAACTGAATATAGCTCCAGAAAGACCTAAATTCCCGAACGACTTCTAACCGATCACCACCAAGGGTCAGTGCAGGGGTTAGTCCCTGCGAAGCTTGGAGGACTTTGCAATTAGGGGGTGCAGAGCTTGAATAGCTATGGTGTGATTGCCAATGAGAGTTGGATCTAGTTGTCACGTCACGACAAAAGTAACAAGAATTAATTCCAGCAAGCAGGAAGGTGGAAGAGGCCAGCATAAGTACCGGGAAGACAGGTGATTGGGAAAAGAATCGAATTACTATAATGGTGTTGGTAGATGAGTACCCAGATGTAAGAGACTGGGGATGGCAAGAAATCCGTTTACCAGGGATAACTGCAATTTCAAACCATAAGGAGCTTCGATTCATTGATCTGAAGTAAATTGTGCAAAGTAGCTGTGCAGTTGGTGTCGTTGCATAGGCCAAAGAAACGGTCGCTGAGTATTAGGAACACATAGAAGCTGGTTTAGTGCCACGGAGCAAATGCTAAATTTGGGTCTAATCCAAATGAACTAATTGTCGGATTTGGTGAAAACGAATCTAACTGGTTACGAGTACTCCAAAGAGGGTAAACATAGCATATGATTGATATGATACCAGTAAAGGACAAATGCAGAATATGTGTGGGCGACATTAGATTATCATCAATCAAGAGGTCATACCGCAGTTAGCATTGGTGTTGGTGACGAAGTTTCAAGGCGAAAAACTAAAATGCACTGTGCATTTACTGGTCCAGTATTTAGTATGGCAGTACGCAGACCGGTCCGTGAATATATATACGGGAATTCTGTTCAACGCGGCTCAATGTCGACAAACGACGATGGACCGGTCGGAGAGCATAACTGCGCGTTTCAGGTTCCATGGAAAAAGCAAGGCGACAACAGAAGAGCTGGGATGAACATTATGCAGTGAACCTCGTTCGGAGTCCCCACAAAATAGAAACATTGCATCTGAGGCAAAGGCGGTGGAATGTGACTAGCCTCTGAATGTTCCGGATGAGCAGAAGTGAATTACCGTTCGGCGCACCGTTCACAACCCACAAAGGCAGCAGGTGGTCATAAGCCAACTGCAAGGCGTAGAGATCGAGGGTCAGTAAAAAATAAAGAGGTGACAAAACCGACTGTATTTGGAATGTTCAAATAAATGACCGATGAGAATGCAGAAAATGAGACAACAAAGATTCGCGAAACTCATCCCAAATGAAGATCTCGTGCAGGAAGCTAAAAGACAGATTTATCTGGTAAGGCAAACGCATACGCATCTGTTACACGTCAAGCCGGCCCGAGAAAGTTGCAGGTTACTTCAGAACAAACGTCTCGTATATTAAGTTATAGGACGTATATGGAAGAAAGTGTAGTTAAAAAACGGAACATATAAATGAATTGCACGTAACAGTTTGCTTACTGTAAAGGTTCCAAAGCTGATCAGACCGCCGGGAGTGAAGTTAAATGTACGCGTGTGGACGATGGTCTTGAACAGAGCCAACACGAACATGGAAACCATCGAGGCAAACAGCTGAAAATGACGACAAAAAGTGAAGGATAAAATAAAGGAATGATAAATCCTCAGCAGTTCATGTGGCAATGTCAGTAGTTACGTGACAGCAGGGCATAGCACCGTTGCAAAAAAAGCACCTCCTCAGCACTGTTAGCGATTATATATATATATATATATATATATATATATATTATATATATTATATATATATATAGTGCCCCATGCTGAGGTTGATGTTGCATTCTTGATGCTTCTTCACCGCAGTTGGGCTAAAGCAACTTACACTTAAACTAGGTCTTTTTAAGCTGGAGAAATTTCATTCCGCTTTATTTGGTTTGTTCTGCCTCCATGAATAATGTTCTATTAACTGGCAACGTTGCCTACCCTAATTGCGCTTATCTTCGGTAATTTTGTTGCGTTTGTAGCATTTTTAAGTAACTTGTGGACATTTCTTACTTATCGCTGACTCGTTGCTAACCAACTTACTTCATATGGTAATTTAGCGAAGAGTTATGCCACCGTATCTGTATGCATTGTTGGATTTATTTTATTTCAGCTTGTCGTTTAAAGTGAATGGCTGTTGCTTGATATCACCGGTGAGGCTGCGCTTGATGTGCATGTTGACAAGGTGCCTACCTGTCTATGACCCACTACCTCGTTCATACTGGCTCCAAGAGACAGTTGGTCGTTGCTGGAGGAGACGTGGTGCACGGTCCTTGTGACCGCGCTAGGCTCAAAGAGCGGTTCCATGCAATTAGAGTGGAGCGGACTACGGTCCAGCCACCGCCTTGTGTGCGGTTGATTCCCCAAATACAGCGTGCTTGTGTTTGCCTGTGAAGGAGGGTGGACCGGCTCAGTTGATGAAACGTGGTTCCCATCCGCATGCCTCCCGGTCTTATTCCTTCGGGTTCACACTGGATATGGGGTATGTGGTTGAAGCTGTGGGTGGTGCAGCGCAAGCCATCCATGGTCCCTCTGTAGGCGCAGACGTCCTGTGTCTGGGCACAGTGACAGGCAAATCCGAAACCGGATGCCGCCAACTAACCATATATATATATATATATATATATATATATATATATATATATATATATATATATATATATATATATATATATATATATATATATATATATATATATAGGTTGGAGGTTTGAAATGGTACGGCGTCCATTTCTGCAAAACTAAATCACTGCCACCTCCGCACTGCCTTCTGACAGGCCTTTGACCCAAAGGCTTTGGATGAGGACCCTAATCGTCCTCCTGTCTAGGTCTGGGCGAACCGGTAATATCCCAGTCCACATACAACCATGACATTTTCTTCGAATATAAACTTCATCCTGCATCCGCCGTCGAGCAGATTATCAAGGGTCGCTTTATCTGCTGCATACACCAAGGCGGAGAAGCGAAAACATGCTACTGCTGGCGCCTCCCTTCTTTCTTTTCCACCTTTTTCTCTTACACCCATCCTGACCCCCATTACTAGCCTTCCTTCTATAATTCCCAGCTTAATTGACAGCAACCGAAGCGCCACTGGAGTAGAACCATCTGCAGCCACCATCCCACAGCACCTATCGGACGCCTATCGGCAAAAGTCCCTTATAAGACCACGCTGTCCCGTTTCCATGGCGACCTTCAACGTCCGCACTCTAAGACAAACAGGTCAGCAGGCTGCACTCGCACGCACCTTGGATACACTAGGTAATTCTGATGTTGTGTGTCCGAAACTAGGATCAATGACCCTAATGGAGTTGTTGAATTAACTGCACCCTACTTATTTTCTAGTCATTGGTTGCACGCATCCGGAGACGCCGATGCAGTACTCACCGGTCAACCTGGTGTAGGTATCATTCTAAGCTCCAAGGCTGAGCCATCATTGGTTCATTGGATTCCGGTGAACAGCCGTTTATGTGCAGCCCGTTAGACAACATCAGCCAAGGTTGATTCACGAAGTATTACAAAACGCTGTTTGTGATTTCCGCTTATGCCCCACCGACTGCAGTTCAAATACTGTCAAAGACACATTCTATCACGAACTGAACGCGCTATAAGGCAGTGCTACTAGTTCAGATATTATAGTACTTGCAGGAGATATGAACGCACAAGTAGGGCGTCTGAGCTCTTCAGAAGCTCAGCTGGGTGTTAATTCTGGGCTTAACTCCGACGGACTGACAACGGCGAGCGTCTGCTGCAACTGTGTGCGGAGCACCAGTTGTTTCTTAGTAGCACTGCTTTTAGACACAGTGGGCGCCGAAGTGCCACTTGGCGTCCTCCTGTAGCTGGCCAGCGATGGACCCAAATTGACCACATTGCCATAAGTTACAGATGGCGTGATTCCATCCTGGATTGTCGCTCGTACTGGAGTACCTGTGTCGACTCTGATCATGCCTTGGTACGCTGTCGTTTCTCCATGAACTACTGGGAGGCGCACCAAGCGTCCCCTACTGAATACTGAATACTGTATTATAGAGCAAGTAGAAATGGATTCTGTACAACTCTTTCGAGATATAGCGAAAAACGTTATAAAAGTTGTCAACCTTGAATATCCTTGTCGTTCTCATGTAATATTTAAACTATTCGACTTACGATATTTCAGGATTCACAAATGTGATGTCATCGTAAGTGTGCAGGCGTTCTCTGAATCGAATAGAGACAAAATGCAAATCTAACAACGTTTTGAACTGTTGCACAGATGTTGCCTCAATCACATGTTCGGGCAAACTATTCCAAATGTTTACCACTCTCCGTTCGAAGCACAGTGGGTGGGGAACACGTTTCATATCCGGCACAACAAGTTTGTATCTGTGTCCGCGTGTGCTGCATGGCCCTCGTTAGTGCAGCATTGGCTTCAGTATGGGAAGTCACCGAAATGTAGAATTCGGTAGGTCATGATGAGGTCGACTTGCACCCGACGGTAGGACAAGGTGTAGAGTCCCAATTTCTCGCACCGTTCTTCATACCCAAAGCCACGTAAACTCAGGATCAGCCTGGTAACAACGTGTTGGACCCGTTCAATCTTTTGTGCCTCGCCTCGGGTAATCGGAAAGTAGGCGGGCGAACCGTACTCTAGCATTGGTCTAATGATAGAAGAGAACAGGCGAGTGGCAACCTCTTCAGACCATGTGCAGAAGCTACGTTTGAGCGCCCAAAGCATGCGCAGTCCGTTCAGATATAACCTGTTCGTGTTGTCCACGGACTTCAAATCGTAGCGTGAGAGTACACCTAGGTCCTTCACGGAGGGTGTGGGATATAGCGTTTGGCCGTCAAGGGTGTACGTTCGGCCGTCTGCACCCTTCCCCATGCTCATAAATACAGACTTGGCTGGGTTGACCGGGAGAAGAACTTCTGCAGACAATGTGGATAAGCGGTTGAGATCTTGCTGAAGTAGGCCACAGTCATCGGGAGCGTCGATTTCTCTCCAAATCTTCATGTCGTTCGCAAACAAGGCACACGGCGACCGGAGAAGCTGCGGTAGATGGTTAATGTGGAGCAGAAACAGAGTGGGCCCCAGCACAGTGCCTTGAGGCACGCCACTTGTAGATGGGTACCAGTCAGTTAGATGATCGTCGACATGTACCCTCAACTTTCGTCCAAAAAGAAAGTCGCGGATCCACCGGTGCAGTAAACCACAGACACCACACATTCTGTGTTTTGTGAAGGAGAAGCTCATGACTGACCTTGTCGAACGCTTTACTGAAATCGATGAATATCACGTCAACGGATTTCCCCTTGTTTATTGCCTTCAACCACTCATGCCTCGTCACAAGCAGGTTAGTAATGCATGAGCGACCTTGCATAAAACCGTGCTGTGCGGGCGTCAGGACCTCGTTTGACTGTAGCAACTGCAGCAATCTCGTCTTCACGATTTTCTCAGCAACCTCTGCCAATATAGGTGTCAGACAAATTGGCCTGTAATTGTCTACTTTGCTAGGGTCGCCGCCTTTCGGAATAGGCTTCACCACCGCACATTTCCAGTCAACCGGCAACAAACCATCGGCCAGTGATCTGTTGAAAAGGTCAGTCACGACAGGAGAGAGGATGGTTGAAAGTGACTTGACAACCAGTCGGTGAAGCCCATCAGGTCCGGCAGGTTTGGTGCCGTCAAGGTTGGCGAGTAGTTGAGCTACCTCTTCAACACCGCAATGCAGACTATCGAGTTCGGTAAAAGTGGTACACGTCGAACTCGGAACAGACACCTGGTTATTCGCAAATACAGAAGCAAAGGGCGCCGCCAACGCGGACGCACGCTCAGTGCTGGAGGTTAGGGGCTGTCCATCGGTGCCATCCAGCACTGGCACATCACCCGCCGGCTTCACGCGTCGCTTCACTTACTGCAAAGATTCTCTTGGGGGCGGTCTTCGCGGCTAATGCGAGCTGCACTTCAAAGTGTCGGCGTTTATTATTTTTTGCACAGTTGCAGAGATTCCGCTGACATTTATACCCTTCGTAATCATTGGCAGAGCCAGAGAGAAGAAATTTGTCCCACAGTCTGCGCCGCCTCCGAGCCAGGTTTACATACTCCATATCAAACCAATGAGGCTTAATCGGTCCAACCTTTCGACATTTCAATGGCACAAATTTGGAACACAATGATGTCAATCTCTCTTTTATAAATATCCAACAATCTTCCACAGATGCAGTTTGTGACAGAGACCAATCCAGTTGGCTCGCGGCTCGAGCAAGACCATCGAAGTCCATTTTCCAGTAGTTGGGAGCTGGTGGCAGCGGATGTGAATACGGCAAAGATAATTCCATATCAGCTATCAGTACTGAGTGGTCGCTTGTAGCCAGGGGCTCCACATCCTAACGTCACGCACTCGTTGTTTGTAGCTCGTTAACATCAGGTCGAGACAGGACGGGTATGAACGTGTTGATATGCGTGTTGGCTGGCATTTGTGTTGCGATTCACCAGTTCCAAGTACCAAATCCACGTGCTTTGCTTCAATCTCCCTATGTTCAGGCATCAAATGCACATCAGGCCTTCGTATTCGAGGAAAATTAAAAACGCCCATCAGTAG